TGAGTCCAGGAGGTCCAGGTTGCAGTGCGCCTGATCATGCCACTGTACTCCAGCCTGGGCAACCGAGTGAGATCCCCAACTCAAAAAATAAATAAATGGAACCAGGCAGTGGTTCATGCCTGTAATCTCAGCATATTGGGAGGCCAAGGTGGGAGGCTCACTTAGCCCAGGCATTTGAAATCAGCCTTGGCAATATAGCAAGAATTTGTCTCTACCAAAAAAAAAAAATACATCAACCAGGCACGGTGGTGCATGCCTATAGTCCCAACTACTCAGGAAGCCAAGGCAGAAAGACCACCTGAGCCCAGGAGGTCTAGGCTATAGTAAGCCATGATCATGCCACAGCACTCCAGCCTAGGTTAAAGAATGAGACTCCAACTCAAACAATAAATAAGTAAATAACATTAAATAAATAAATAAGTAAATACAAATAAAAACTAAATATAAAAGAGCCAGAGGAAAAAAACACATAACCTATAGAAGAATTGGAATTACAGCTTTTTTCTCATCAGAAATACCGGAAGCAAAATGGTACAATAGTGTGAAAACATTAAAATAAAAAAACCCAGAATTCTATATCCAACAAAAATATCCTTTAGAGATGAAAATAAAAATATTTACAAATGAAAAAAACCAAACAGAATTCCTAGCCAGCCTACCACTCTAAAAGAATTGCTGGCCAGGTACAGAGGCTCATGCCTGTAAACCTGGCAATTTTGGAGGGCAAGGTGGTAGGATCACTTGAGGTCAGGAGTTTGAGACCAGCCTAGGCAACATGGTGAGAGTCTGTCTCTACAAAAAATTTAAAAATTGGCTGGGCTCGATGGCTCAGTCTGTAATCCCAGCACCTTGGGAAGCCTGAGTGGTTTGCCTGAGTCCGCGGGTTCAAGACCAGCCCAGGCAACTTGGTGAGACCACGTCTCTACAATAAATCAAAAATTAGCTGGGCACAGTAGCATGAGCCTACAGGTCCAGCTACTTGGAAGGCTGAGGTGGAAGGATTGCCAGAGCCCAGCAGATTGACACTGGGGTGGCCGTGAGCATGCCACCACACTCCAATCTGGGTGACGAGTCTGGGCGACAGAGTGAGACTCCAACTCAAAAAAAAAAAAAAAAAAGAGGAAAAAATATTTAAAAATTATCCGGGCTCGGTGGCTCAGCCTGCAATCCCGCGCCTTTGGGAGCTGAGGTGAGTGTATTACCTGAGCCCGCGGGTTCAAGACCCGCCTGGGCAACTTGGCGAGACCTCATCTCTACAATAAATCAAAAATTAGTCGGGCATGGTAGCGCGCGCCTGTAGTTCCAGCTACTTGGAAGGTTGAGGCAGAAGGATTGCTGGAGTTCAGCAGGTCGAGGCTGTGGTGGCTGGGAGCGGCCGTTGCACTCCAGTCTGGGCAACAGTGAGACTCCAACTCCAAAAAAAATTAAAAATTAAAAAACTTAAAAAAAAAAAAAATTAGCTGAGCATGGTGGTGTGTGCCTGTACTCCAGCTACTTGGGTGGTTGAGGTGGGAGGATCGCTTGAGTCCAGGATGCCGTGAGCTGTGATTGTGCCAATATACTCCTGGAGTTTAAGAAAGTGAGACTCCAACTCAAAAAAAAAACAAAAAAAACCCCCAAAGAATCAACAAGAAAATCACTACAGTTAACAAAGGATTCAGCAAAGTTGTAGGATACAAGATCAATACACAAAAATAAGTTTTGTTTCTATATACTTATAAGAATAATCTAAAAAGAAATTAAGAAAGCAATTCCACATATAATAGCACCTCAAAAAATTTAAATACCTAGAAATTAATTTAAATAAGGAGGTAAAATGTTTGTATACTGAAAACTAGGACACTGCTGAAAGTAATTAAAGAAGACTTAAATAGGCCGAGCACAGTAGCTCACATCTGTAATCCCAGCACTTTGGGAGCTGAAGGCAAGAGGATTGCCTGAACCCAGGGGTTCAAGACCAGCCTGGGCAACTTGATAAAACCTCATCTCTACAATAATATCAAAAAAATTAGCCAGGCATGGTGGCTATCCAATAACCTTTTTTTTTTCCAGAAATGGAAAAGCCAATCCTCAAATCTATATGTAACTGCAAGGGGTTCCAAACAGCCAAACAATCTTGAAAACAAAAAACAAAGTTGGAGCATTTACACTTCTCAACTTCAAAACTTACTACAAAGCTACATGATTCAAAACAGTTTTGATACTGGCATAAGGGTAAACACACAGATCAATGAAATAGAATAGAGAACCCAGAAATAAAGCTTCACATATCTGGTGAAATGATTTTTGACAAGGGTGCCAAGACCATTCAATAAGGAAAGGAGCCGGGCTCGGTGGCTCAGCCTGTAATCCCACGCTTTGGGAGGCTGAGGTGAGTGAATTGCCTGAGCCCACGGGTTTGAGCCCCGCCTGGACAACTTGGCGAGAACTCATTTCTACAATAAATAAAAAAAATTAGCCGGGAGTGATAGCGCACGCCTGTAGTTCAGTTACTTGGAAGGCTGAGGCGGAAGGATCACCGGAGCCCAGCAGGTCGAGGCTGCAGTGGCCGGGAGCAGCCACTGCACTCCTGTCTGGGAGACAGAGTGAGACTCCAACTCAAAAAAATAAAAATAAAAATAAGGAAAATACAGGCATTTTAAACACTCTAAGTCTAAGTGTACAATTCAGTAGCATTCATTACATTAGTAATATTGTACAAACAAACAAAAGCTCTGGACCTGATGGCTTCACTGAAGTGTACCAAACACTTAGAGAATTAGCAACAATTATTCTCAGATCCTTTCAAAAAAACTGAAGAGGAAGGAATATTTCCTTAATCTTTCAATGATGTCAGAACTGCCCTGACACCAAAGCTAAAGACACCATAAGAAAACTAAAAATTGATATCCCTTATGATTACGCAAAATCTTCAACAAAATACTAGCAAGTCAAATTCAGTAGCACTTTTGGAAACTGCCTCAACATAATAAAGGCCAAATATGAAAACACAGCAAATATCATACTCAGTGGTGAAACACTGAAAATTCTCTTCTAAGATCAGAAACAAGACAAGGATGCCATCTTTCACCACTTCTACTCAAAGCAGTACTAGCCGGAGCAATTAGGCAAGAAAAAGAAACAATAGGCATCTGGAGTAGAAGTAAAGTTATCTGTTTATGGATGACATTATCTCATTATGAAGAACCCTAAAGGTGCCACACAAAAAGCTATGAGAACTAACAAATGAATTCAGCATAGCAGGACACATCTCAATTTTTAAGGAGAAAAATGGGTACACATTTTTCCTCCTAATTTTACCTAATCTCCAGGCACAGAGCTCTAGGTTTATATTTCTATATCTTCCACAAGGTCTTCTTCATTGCTAGCTATATATAGTATGAACCAAATAAGTATTTGCTAATTGAACAACACAATGCCTTAAAAGGCAATGAACAAAGCCATTAATTCCCCAATGTTCTTCCATTTCCTGTGCTAAACATCCAAATATCACAATGAATCTATTCTAAATATTCTAAATGTTACTGTTAAGATTGTGGGTGAACTTTTTAATGTTTAAACAATTCAATTATATTTTTCTTTTAGTTTCTGATTCTTCAAATAATATGGTAAGGTCAAATAGCTAGCTACTTTTATTACCTGGCTATTAGAATGAAGCCAAACAGCCTTGCTTTATGTTATATTTTTCCTTTAAAAATGTTACTTAACCAATACCTAATCCAAAATAGTACTACACCCCAATCTCTACCATCCTTTTATTAACCCATTGATGCAATCGTTAATAATTAGTTCTGGAAACTATTTTTTCCCCAAATTCCAGATTTTATTCATTATGGAAGAGCCACTTTTTTTTCTTAAAACACAACACAGTATACAATAGGATTCTCAATGAGAATGTAGCAGAATCTCCTAAAGGCTTTTTCAAACCAAACATACTACAGAAACTCACTTCTTTGAAAAATCATTGCCTTAGCAAGCTGCCTGACAATGGCAACAACCCAAAGGGAAGCATCTTAACCCTCTACATTGGAGAGACAAAAGGCAAGAACTAATGATAACTAAAATTAAAATGTAAAGCTTAGAAATATGTTCTCAAGCGTTCAGTGACTGAATAAATATGCTATTTCTTTCTACTTAATTATTATTCTAATTTACCATTCAATTAATTTTGAATTTAATTCATTGTAAAATCAAAGTTGATACATAATAACAGATATTAAAAGGTGTTTGGGTTTCATTATCGTTTAATTATGCCGTCTTAAAACAAAATGAGAGCCGGGCTCAGTAGCTTAGCCTGTAATTCCAGCACTTTGGGAGGCTGAGGTGAGAGGACTGCCTGAGCCCGCGGGTTTGAGACCCGCCTGGGCAACCTCATCTCTACAATAAATCAAAAAATTAGCTGGACGTGGTAGCGCATGCCTGTAGTTCCAGCTACTTGGAATGCTGAGGTGGAAGGATCGCCAGAGCCCAGCAGGTCGAGGCTGCGGTGGCCAGGAGCGGCCACTGCACTCCAGTCTGGGTGACAGAGGGACTCCAACTCAAAAAAAAAAAAAAATGAGGAGTAGAAGCAGTGGCTCATGCCTGTAATTCCAGCACTATGGGAGGTGGAAGCAAGAGGATTGTCTGAGTCCAGGGGCTCAAGACTAGCCTGGGTAACTTGGCGAGACCTTTTCTCTACAATACATCAAAAAACTAGCTGGGTGTGGTGGTATGCACCTGTGATTCCAGCTACTTGTAAGGCTGAAGTGGAAGAATCACCTGAGCCCAGCAAGTCGATACAGTGGCCGTAAGTGTGCCACTGCATTTCAGCCTGGGTGACAAGAGAGACTGACTCCAAAAAAAACCAAAAGACAAAATGAGGGATCAGTAAAGTTTAAAACAGACATTCCATTAATTCAGTGCAATCTGGTTTGTGCTAAAAGATATAGGAATACTTAACCAGGTCAAAGAGATCAAATGCTTAGGTTACTGGAGTTATAAAAAGAAACTATTTTTATTACCTGCTGAACAGCTAGTGTACTGTCCATTTCATCAAAGGATTCATCAGGCCAATTATAGAAATCCTGTAAAAATAAATTCGATGTTAAAACACATACAAAAAGAAAAAAAGAATACATACAAAATACTCATATGATTAGCTTCAATTCTTTTTTTTTTTTTTTTTTTTTTGAGTTGGAGTCTCACTCTGTCACCCTGACTGGAGTGCAGTGGCTGCTCCCCGGCCATCGCAGTCTCGACCTGCTGGGCTCCGGCGATCCTTCCGCCTCAGCCTTCCAAGTAGCTGGAACTACCGGCGCGTACTACCACGCCCAACCAGTTTTTTTATTTTATTGTAGAGATGAGGTCTCGCCAAGTTGCCCAGGCGGGTCTCGAACCCGCGGGCTCAGGCAATCCACTCATCTCAACTTCCCAAAGTGCGTGATTACAGGCTGAGCCACCGAGCCCGGCTTAGCTTCAATTCTTAATAAAGAGCCAAAAGTCACAATAGAGGGGAAGAAAAGCCTTTTCAATGTAATTATCAGTGAAATAAGTTAAAGAAATTTTATTTAACTTTTTTTTTTTTTTTAGCGACAGGGTCTCGCTCTGTTGCCCAGGCTGGAGTGCAGGACATGATCATATCTCACAGCAGTCTCAAACCCCTGAGCTCAAGCAATCCTGCTGCCTCAGCCTCCTGGGTCACTGGGATTACAGGTTTGAGCCACTATGGTCAGGTATAGTCAATGTTTTTAAATGAACACTAAGATTTTATTTAATTGAACTATAAGATACATTTTATTCAACCATGAATCCCTCAAATATAGGATCCATAAACCTTTAATGTACTAATTGGGCAGATAAGTCCATCAGTCTTTTGTTTATGGTGGTTAAATACCTCTCAAAAAGTTACACTCGCCGGGCTCGGTGGCTTAGCCTGTAATCCCGTGCCTTTGGGAGGCTGAGGTAAGTGGATTGCCTGAGCCCGTGGGCTCGAGACCCGCCTGGGACAATGTGGCAAGACCTCATCTCTACAATAAATAAAAAAATTAGCCAGGCGTGGTAGCACGTGCCTGTAATTCCAGCTACTTGGAAGGCTGAGGCGGAAGTATCGCCGGAGCCCAG